CTCCGGAATATCCGCCGAGCGCTGCGGCAGTGCGGAGCAGGGAGGCGGCGGCGGCGGCGCTGCACGCGGCAAGAACCCTGTTGGGCGCGGGGGTGGCCAACCCTTGCTCACCCACCCCCGAGCCGCCCTTTTGGAAGATGCCGCATAAAGGTCGGTGCAGGAATCAATTTACTTTCATTTACGCGAACCACTGCGAGAAAACGAGGTGTTTGGCGATTCGCTGGAATAGCATTGACGCCGCAGGTAGCCGATAGTCGGCAAACAGATAGCTGATTTTTTTTTATATTCGCTCAGCAAATGAGAATCACTGACAAAAACTCCTTGGTCGGTGGATGGAATCATTTGCGAGAACTGTAATTGATTTGTCCTGCGAGAAAACTAATTAATTACCGAACACTTTGTTTACATGAGGATGTGGAAAACTTATGGTACTAAGTATCTCAAGAATAACTTTTCAATTTTAATTGGAGAAGTAACTACAGTTAAGCGAAACAAAGTAAATAGATTAGAAAAATTTCCTTGCATTCAATCGAATAAAGCATGACAGAGAAAAATTTGGCTCTTTTTATAAATTTTTGGACTGTCGTGCGTTTCCACGAGTTCTTTAATTATAGTTCTTGAGAAGCAATCTGTCACTTGATGGTTAGAGTAAAACGGAATTACAGTAATTAATTAATGCATGTAAGTTTATTAACTCTAAAGTATGCGTATCTTGCAGTCCTAATTAAGTAATCAAGAATCAGTTGCGCTAACTCTCACTAACTCTAAGAATACTTAACTGATATATAAAAAATAAGAGAATTAAGATGGTATATATAAAGAAAGGTAAAAAAATAACATAAGATTTTTTCAAAACTTCTCGCTAAAAACATTAAGAATTACATTGTTTAGACATATTAAACATTCAAGATATTAAAAATATTAAGTATTAAAGATAGTAACGTCACGTTTAACCCTCCGGAGCTGACACCAAAACCCGTAACACAATTTACTGGCACTAATGTGAAATCCACATTTATGTCAGTTTCTTATTTCAAACGTATCTAATTAAAAAAACGTAATTTTTATTGAATTTCATACCATAAATTAGTTGGGTGAAAATTATCCTATCATCAAAAGTAAACTAATTTAACTTTTCATAAAAAATTGTTACAACTTAAAAAAGGTAATTAAAAAAAATTGTCACAACTAAAAAAGGATATTTTTCCTAAAAGATTATGAAGCAAAAATAACAAAAATGCATTTGAAATGTTAAGAATATATTTTTTTGCTGATATTATTGATTATTTAATAAAAAGAAACAATTTTTTTTTCTTTTTTTAGGAAACTTAATTTTTTGAGTGTCACTTTTGAAGTAAGCAAGAGATATGTTGATTAAAAAGTCCTACCTAATTTTAAGGAATTCAAATAACAATTTTTCCAACTATAAAAAATGAATATTAAGTTTATTTTAATAACAATAATTCAAATTTGTAGATGTAGAATAAAAAATATAGTTGAGTGGGTCCAATAGAGACTCACGTCAGTTCCGGGGGGTTAAATATGACGTTAAATTTGACCCTCACATTCTTTGACTTTCTTCATAGGGTTTTAAATATGAAAATAAAGTATTTTATTGATTATCGATAAAGGACGTTTTGGGGGGGGGGGCGACAAAATATCGATTAGACGACTATAATATTTGTTTTTGCGGTATATAGCGTGTTATTTTCGCGTCTCGTCGTGCTATCGTTCGCGGGATGATACTCGAGTAGACAGGTAGTGGCGCGAATTACTCCGTGTATCGTCGTATTATCCTTCTCACAGCCCCTAACTTAATAGTGACAAGTAAATCGTAACTTATGCGAATCGAAATTTTCTTAAGGTAGATGGTTTTGATATGAAATTTACAGCCCTTCCGAACTCGTGATGAGTTATACGAGAAAAGGGACGAGTAAATACGCGTACGCTTATGAGCTTAGGTGAGCTCGCGGTTATCCCCGGGGGTTAGTTGGTAACTTGACACGCCTTTGGTCGGCTTCTGTCGGGCCAGCGGCCCCTTCGCCAGTGATTCCGGGCGAGGCGAAGGGTAGTGGCCCTCTTGCACCTCGAGAGATTCGTCGTCGCGACCCCAACGCGCACCACACCCGGCAACAATCGGTTAGGCTGACTCTCGGACCTCCCTTCCTTCGTACCCCCGACAATAAGCGTGGGCTGCTTATACCGCCAATTTGTCTCGACGCAACGTAATCTTTCTCTCCGGTCGAGGAGTTACCCACACTTTATTCCAGAGCGGAGACGCGGCCCACGCGAGATCATAATGGGACTTGTAGGAGGGTAAGTGCTTCCCCCCCCACCCCCCACCCCGCTTTCTCTTCCTATAATGCCCCCTTCTCGCATCAGCTTCGAAGGTGGACAATGCTCGCGTGGCACGAGTGTGCCCTTCTTTCATCGTCCAACCACCAATCTGCTTCTTCTCGTATTTTCTCCTTCTCTTATGTACTGTATATACGAGGAATATGTCAGGAAATGAAAGAGAGAGAGAGAGAGAGAGAGAGAGAGAGAGCGCGGGAGAGCGCTTCCTCTTACTTCGGTTCTCCATAAAAACCCCAGAAGCTATTTGGAATCAAACGGCCGATTCACGAGAGCGCTTTATTTCGTTCTCGTCGCTACACGAGATTTGTTAATGGTTATGGGTTCCGCGCGTTGGTTACGGGCTCTGGATCGAATCTCGCGCGTGCCAGAGCACGGAGGCTGCGGAGATTACCTGCCTCCGCTGTTCCAAGGGGGTAATAAATGTCGGCGTCGCGGGATTATCCCCGCGACCAATCAATAGAGACCGCGGTTCCGCAATACGTCGGCGAGACACGCCGATAACTTTTGCCTGTAGGTATATGTGTAGGGGAGCTTCGAGCACGCCAGTTTGGCTCTCTCCGTTTTACGTGGCTGTCGGCGTGTTGGGACGGAAGCTACAGTGTATTCTGTTACATTCGGTTTATTTGAGAATAGCTACAGGCGGATTCTAGGACACTTTGTGTGCGTGTATGAAAAGCTATTTATATGAATTTATTCTATTAAGCCTCCAGAGCTGGCGTAAGTCTATTGGATCCACTCATTTATATATTCTTTATATTTTATCTGGAAATTTGAATTATTGTAATAAATTATTACGTGTACCAAAGACTAATGTTCATTAAAAGGCACTAATTAATTTCAAAGAATAAATCGACACACGTATGAAGAAATACTAAAGCCTGACATTTATACAGTCCGTTTTTATTTCAAGACTGTCTTAAGTAATGTCTTAGGATACTAATACGGCTCTCTGATTGGTTTATAATAGCTTAAAGACTGCACTTAAGACTAATATCGGCCTATTAAAATAAGTAATTTTTTTTATACGAGTTAACGTTGTTTTCCTTGAAATTAATTAGTACTTTTTAATGAACATATATTAATCTGTAGTATACACTACGATTTTCCGGTCCTTTATTACACACAATGAGTCATTCGTATCTCGAATTAATTTTCATTACTTTAACAAATATATTATATGTAAGAATTATTAAATAATGTCAACAATTATATTGTACAGATTTTGGCATCAGCTCCAGAAGATTAAATATTAAACTGTATAGGTTTAATCAAGCCATTAAATTTTTCGCAACACATTCGCGACATTTCGTTTGCAATTCAGTCAAATGAAGATAACTCGTTCGCGAGCGCGAAGAATTGGAAAATCAATTAAATGCCGATGGAACGCGTGAAGAAACTACATACGCGCGCGAATGACAAGCTAGTTACTTCGATGATCTCAAGATTTGCTGTTGCATTTACTCGTTACGACAATAGCTCCTTTCGACAATGAGCGTCTATCGAGTCGGGATTTCACGGTCCGTTATCCCGTTTACCGGCGCAAAATGACTTATTTAATCGTTGCGCAGCGGCGTCGAGATTATCGCGTTATCTCGCGTTATTCCCGCGCGTGAAGCATCTTGTTATACGTGAATAGTAACGAACGCGCGAACGTACGTGAATTACTAACCCCCGCGGTCATGAGTTCGGTATTTACCTGCGAAAAGCTACAGGGAAGACACATACTTGCGAGCTGCCTTACACACTGGTGTCAATAATAACGAGCGCGGTAATGAGTATGCGTTGCCGGGGGATGGCGGGTTGCTAATACTGCGCCGTCGCCTCTTAACACCGTCCGTAATGAATTCGTCGTCTCTCGGAAAGCGGGCGCGAGCGCTCTTACCGCGATTCAACTCATTAGAGAGCGTATGCCTGGCACGCCATCTTTGATGTCGTTGAAAGACGCGCACGAGATGAACTTTTCTCTCTCTCTCTCTCTCTCTCTCTCTCTCTCTCGCTCCCCCCCGTATTCGCCGAGTTTATGACGAAACGCTCGGAGGCTGTACCCCGGCTCGGCTGCACCCTTTTCCCTCCCAGCCCAACCCCCGGTTTGCTCTTCCTTGCTCGGAATCTCTACACCAACGTGATAATAACGTTTAGTCGGTTGACACTCGACAAACGCGTCGACTTCAGAAGCGCATCCGACCGCTCGACGTTATCCCGCTAACAGATTCCAAGACTGTCACCGGAAATGATCGCGACTAGATCTTGTAAATGTTCAGTGAGAACATTAACGTAATGATAGTTCTGGAGTAAAAGATATTATTGTTTCCATATTAATTATATGGAAAATTGCATCCCCGGTGGGAAATGATTGAAATTAGTTTTTTTTTGACGTGGCGAATAAAAGATGTTGTAAACGTAAGGCTCGATAATGGATACTTTTTGAGTAATGGGATGTTTACAATAATGGATAGTTTTTTGGCTACAGTGTATATTAAAGATCTTTACAAGTTTGACACTGTTTGATACTTTATAACTGAAAAACTACTCGTTATTAAGCTTCATATCTGACGTCTTTTGTTCATCACATTATAAGCTACATTATACCTACGTGAAAATGAGCTCATTCCACTAGCACTCAATTTTCAGCATATAATTAGTACGGGATCCTTTCTTGAAACCTCTCTTCCGTTATTTATTCAATTATTAGTTATTTGCCGTCACATTTATCTTAATTTTCAATGTAAACAATTGGATAATTGAGTCGCGGTAAATGTTTGTTAATTCTCGATTGTGTATACTTACAATACTGG